GGCGCTCCTTCGGTGTGCATGCGCTCCGCTTTGTTTTTGGCGGCGAGCCCCCCCCTTGGTGGCCCCTTCGGATTTCGTGGGGCTTCTTCGGGAAAAGGGGGCCTCGGTCCTGATCTGCCGTTCCTCGGGTCAGCGGCCCGACTGCAGGGGAAGTGTTGGGACTTCTGGTGGCCCTGCGAAAGTAAGAACATCAGACGTCTGCGGGCCCTTCGCCCTCGCGCCCAAACGCTGCGGCGGCACACGGAAAGCAGCCCGTGCAGCTCAGCCGAGGTGCGCCAGGGGCAAGCTGCACAGTACAGAGCTTCAGCAGCACGTGCTCACAAAGGCGGAGAGGAGGGAGATGGAGGGCTGCGAGCCAGGAACCGATTTCCTGGTTGGGGCCACTCGGCTCAACCCCCGCATTCCCGATATATGGCACCAGTTTGAGTTTGTACGTAAACCACACGTGATCTTTCAAAACAAGCTTCACCGCAGTATTGTCCATGCGGCGCTCCTGATGTCACAGTGGCACAAGTCAGCTCCGCGTGCGTGGCGTTCTGCTCCTCTTCAGCGGCACGCACTTGTCTAAACAAATTATACCTTCACCGAACAGTCGATTGAACCAGCTTGGGGATGTGATCAAATCCCTCCCGAGGATGAGGAGGAGGAGGAGGAGGGCGTGAGTCGCGATCAGACCACTCTACGAGAGGATGGGTGCAGCTGACACGAGGAAGTTACCAGTTTCGTAGAACAGTGAACGGTGTTAGTTAAACGGCGCGGCGTCGTTTCATGTTGCAGCTAGTTATGTGCCTTCTGATTCACCGTGGTTCTGTTGCGCACGAGTGACGATTGCGACGCGACAGGGGGCAATATGTGCAACTCGACATACCCTCACCGCCGCCATCGGTCTTCGTTGCCTGCTTCGCGATTCACATCTAAGTGGTTGCAATTCAACCCTGTGAAGCTGTTTTGGCGTCGTCTTGTCGGACGATCTCGGCGAGGCCAACGCCGCGTCTTCCTTCCATCTCATTGCCCCCCGGTCCCCACGGTGGCACAGAGGCAAGAGCTGGGCTACGACGTCCTTGGGCGCGTTGTGGACGTGAAGGAGGAAGCGGGGCACCTCTTCCGTCAGCCAGTAGGGTGCGACGTTTGTCGCACTACACACAGCGAGCCCAAGGAATTGGGAAAGAGGAGGAGGAGGAGGAAGCTCGCCTTAGGTCATTAAGCATAAAACGAACGCAGCGAGTGAGAACCCAAGGCTGTGCAACGGAAAAAAAGATGGAAGATTCCGTACCTAGTCAGGGCATTGTCGGCAATTACACAGGGCGAAGAGGTGTCATGGATGTCTTATCGGATCCCCCGTCTTGGCTGATCAGGCTGCACAGAGTGCGAGGGTGCTCTTGCGCCACGGATGCGAAGGGTGGCGGGGGGGTGGGCGCGGCGGAAGATCTCACTGCCTTTCTGTTCGGCGTATGTTCATGGGTGCAGACCGGCAGGCCAGACGAGTGGCATCGCTGCTGTCCGGAAATGTGGATCGACGGTTGCGACGCCTGGCAAGATCGGCGCGATGTTGCTCGAATCGGTTTTCGCTGCCGTTGCCCTACAGCGGGCGGGGGCCGTGGAGGGCCCCCACTTGGGGGCGTTCCACGCTGGGGCTATTGCGGGGTCCGCGGCTTCCAGCGTTCGGGAAGGCAGCGCATCGATGCTACTGTCCACTGACTGCAGCGAGCTTGAGGAGAAGGAGGAGGAGGAGGAGGAGGAGGAGGCTGCGAAGAGGCCTGTGCAAGTGGCTCGCAGAATTGGATGACGAGGCCTCCTCTTTTGGAGCGCACCCCGTTTCGACTCAGACTGCCCTGGGCTACGGGCCACAATCCCCCACTCCAATGCGAATGGCGGTCCCAAGTCGCGCAGTGCTTCGATGTTGTTGACCACCTACGGTATTGGTCTATCTTGATGCATTGAGACAAATTTGGGGGACATCTTGGAGGCATCTTGCGGCTGTATGGGGCCACCTTGGAGCAGTCTTGGGAGATATCTGGGGCCGTGCAGGACATCTTGAAGCGATCTTGCAACATCCTATGAACAGGGCATCGTGTGTCCATAGTTGGCCGTCTTGGGCTCTTGAGGCCAAACTAAGGGCCCTTTTTGAAGACTCTTGGGTTTTTTTGTCGTTGAGAAATGTGAAGCGGCCTGGAGACAGACGGACAACCCGCGGGTGTTTCTTGACCAGCCTGGCCCCTCCAGTGGACAGTAGAATGAAAAAGGACTGAAGAGACCCAAAACAACATGATGAAATAAACAAGACAGGAGTCCAAAAGCGTCTTTCACAGCCTTGCACCCCCAAGGAGACCATCGGATTTGAAGACCAGTGACATCGATGCTGGCTCGAAGAGAGAGAGTGAGAGAGAGACAGAGACAGAGAGATAGACAGTTCGAAGGAAAAGAGAGAGAGAGAGAGAGGAAAGAGAGAGAGAGAGAGAGTTGAGAAGGAGGAGGCTGAGGAGGAGGAGTCAGAGGAGGACGACGACGACGACGCCGATACTCTAGGCATGGGTTGCAAGGGGATCAGACGATCCTCCGATCCGCAAAGGGCGCCTGCCCACCACCAGCGTGTCCGGCCAGGGCCAACCTGGGCCCCCCGGGCTGGTGCACGTGTTTTCACACCCTCCTCCTCCTCCTCCTCATCCCCCTCCTCCTCTCCCTCCTCCTCCTCCTCCTCCTCC